AGAGAGAGAGAGAGAGAGAGAGAGAGAGAGAGAGACAGGAAGAGAGAGAGAGAGAGAGAGAGAGAGAGGTTACCACAGGCTCCTAGCAGTTTAAGACAGAGTGGAACCAAACAGCATACAAGAAACTGACCTTCGACCTGATATTCATTCACTTAAGAGCAGAGAAGTTATAATGAAATACTCCCCCCCCCCGTGGACCTGTACGGCCAGGACACTCTGCAGCCACTCACCTCTTTCCTGTCCTTACTGAGCTGCTTCCACATCTCGCCGGCCTTCTTGGAGATCTCCGTGACAGAGATGCCTGGGTTCTCCGACTTGATGCGCTCACGGCTGGAGTTGAGCCACAGCATGTAGGCACTCATCGGCCTCTTGGGGGCGCCGGCGTCCTTCTCCTTAGCTTTGGTCTTGGGAAAGGAGAGCGGGAGAGACAGGGAAGACCGTTTTTGAAATCTGGCCTCGTTCGCTGAGACCTGCTGGCACCGTATCCCAGGCGGCTCTCGCTCGCACCCCAGCCTTCCGCGGTTTCTTCTCCTTGGTCACTTTGGGCTTTTTAACTGGCTTCTTCTTCCTGTTGTCGTCTTCGCTGTCGTCTCCACCCTCCGCGCTGCTGTCGCTGGCCGATGCATTGCTGTCATACCTGAGACGGTGAAAAGGGCCGTAATGAAGCAGCATTTCAAATTAGAGATTCAGCCCAAGTTTTTAAGAATCAAGCTCAAACTTGGAATTAAAATCGGTTAAAGACCAACAGACGTCATAAATCGGTACACGCTGCATAACAACTGTAATGTAAACAAACATTACATTGTTCAATGTTCACGTTGAGATCATATAATGAAATTCAGTTACCTGAAGTCTCAGATGATTTTCAAAGTGCAAAACACTTTTTTGAATTATGATTTTAACAGGCATGCTAAATGTATCCAAAACCGTACTCAATCAGTGCCAAAGCAAATGAAGTGTTAGAATTCAATCATACAAAAATTACTTCTGAATATAAGCTTATTAAATCATTGTGTTTAATTGTATTTTTGGTATATCAAGCACCTTGTATCTAGATATCGTCGTTGTCTGGTGAAAACCATGCATGTCCACATTTTGATGATTGTGACTTTACACTACAGATAGAATATGCCCATTTTCCTCGCTGATAGTGGTTGACATCTAATGATGACTCAATGAAAAGATGTTTTATAAAATTACCTATTTAAACTAGTGTTTGTAGTAGTTAAAACTTATATTAATTTTTGCTTGCATGGATCACCTCATACTGGTAACAACTTAATGTTGATTGCTACAGAGCCAGGTAACCAATATTGCTGATAATAATGAATATATTATAAGATTAGTTTGTATCTTGACAGTGACACGTCCTGCTTTGGCGAAAATGATCCACATAAGTTAAAACAAAGCGTCCACTGACGGCTGTGTAAAGGCAGGTTTGTATATGTGGTGCTAAGGTACCTCACTATGTTATTTTAGGTTTATTTTGTAAAGTAGTTTAGGAGAAAAAGCATTTTTCTCCACAGTCCTGGAATAATGGATTTTTGGAGATATACATGTTTTTCATCAGACAGCGACGACATTTATCAGTTTGAGAGGGAGCGGTAAACACGCCTAATGTTGAAAGGGCAGAACTGGGAGAGTTTAGGTGCCAGGAGATTTCTGCTGTTGGATGGAAATGACATCAGAGGTCAAAGGTCAATATGAAAGGAAGTAGGACTTACTCCTCAGCGATGTCATCATCCTCCTCGCCAGGGTTGAAAGACTCATCTGGGGGGAGACATAAAAAAATTAAGTTGAAAACTCCACTGGTGAGACCACACCCCACAGTCCGATGGTGCCAAGACCCGTCCTGGTCAAGGATCTGCCCACACAGCCCGGCTCACCGCTGCCACCCTCTGAGTCGCTATCGTTGGCCTCCTCGCGGATCTTGCCCTCCTCCTTCATGCGCTCCAGGTAGGCGTCATGCTGGTCGTCGTCCGAGTCGCTGTACATGTTCTCATTGCCCTTCATGCCCTGAGTGACCGAGGAATGACAGCAGTGAGGACGTGAGGGGGGGGGAGGGGGGGGCGTTAGGTAAATCAACTTTGAATCAAGGGAAGGAGAAGACAAGCTCATCAAGCAGACGCCAACAGCACGGAGATTTGTTCCTTTGAAGACAAACAGGAGTGAGATTTTAGAGGCAGAGCACTCGCAGGCTTCGAGACTCCAGTGTGTAATCGGCATGACAAGTGCTCACCAGTCGTGTTAATCTCTGACACGAGCGTGCAAAAAAAAATGCCAGTCGCTGGCACCCCTGGTTAGTGAAGACCCAGAAACGCACATGGCTGTATTGATTGGGGGGGGGGGGATTCTGCTTCACACTGGTCACGCTCAGACCACACACTGAAGGCGAAGAACTCCCAGCAGGAAGCGGAAAGACCCCAGGAGAAATCACAGCCCCGCCCGTCCCTTGCCCGCCCACAGATGATTCGGCTGTTAATCAGCAACGCAGACACCTGCACTGAGATCTTCTGGAGTTAGAGAGCCACGTGTACAGCCTGCTCTGACCCTAGAAAGCGGCACTACGGCTATCAGCTAAGGACACCGGGGGCCTGCAGTACAAAGCGGGGTTACTGGCTTATCGGGGTAGCTTGTCGGATTTAAGGTAGTCTGGGCGAAATGCAAGTGAACGAATATGAAGTCCATTTAAACTGTGGTACCTTAAATCCGACAAGTTACCCCGATAAGCCAGTAACCCCGCTCTGTAGTGCAGGTCGCAGGACTGAAAACAACACGGGGTAAATACACCCCTGCCTTCGAGGACACGCCCCCAAGCCCACCTGCTTTTCAGTGGCATTTTGCAGTTTAACAACTCAGGGCTTGTGCTTGGAGGGAATTTAGGGGAAATCCTGTAACATAGCATCTTGCTACTAGTTTAAAATAAACAGGATGAAGCTTTAAACTAAAGCAACAACAACGACATCCTGGGCCTTCAGCACCACTCGGTGACTCACGAGGAAAAAGATCCGTCTTCCTGAGATAGCGTCGCAAATTTACGGAAAGCACCTTCAAAAGCCCCCCGGGGGAACTTGGGATGGAAATGAGGGTAATTTTCGATCGTCTAACCGCCACAAAGTTGCCCACTAAATCGGACACCACCCATGATACGGCCTCCTGCCTCCCCACTGACCTGTGGCTGCACAGGGAAAGCATGAAAACGTCAAAACGCGGCTGCTTATGTGCCCTCACTGGGGCGTGATGTCATTTCCTGTTCTGGCTCTCTAAAGCCCCCACCCGCTAACGATTCCCCTAGAAGCCAGCTGGACAGACCCTCCTCAGCATGATTTTCACTCCTCCAATGTGCAGGCAGAACACAACATGCAGGCAGTTATTTCACACCCAAGAAAAAAAAAATTACAAAATAAACACACACAGTGCGGAGATAATACCGACCTTCTTCTTCAGGAACACAAACAGGGGGAATAGAGGGTACATTTTAAAAAAAAAAAAAAGTGTCAGTATTCAGTGAAAAACCCTCCGAGTCACAGATACTAAAACGCATTGATTTTGTTAGCTTGTAGTAAAAATTACCTCTTTGAATCCGCGGTTCTTGATGTTGAGTTTCTTAGCATTGACAAAATCAAAGAGTTTACCGTACTCTTCCCTGGAAGACAAGGAGGGAAATCGGTTCAAGAGCTAAACACGTACACCTCACACATGACGAAGGTGTCCGTCTAAAGCATGGGTGGGTAATCTTATCCAGAAAGGGCCGCCGTGTATGCGGGCAAATCCCTAATTAAACTACTAATTAGAGGACTGCTTGAACAGCTGACCTAAAGGTAAGAGTGCTAACTTCTGGTCTAAAGGAACCTCATATTTTGGTCAGTTGGATATCTCTAAACAGGTTGAGTCTTGCGATTAAAAATCTGCAAGAGTAGGGACAGGAGGAGAGGACGGCAGACACCAAATGGGGGCGGGCCGACCTCTCGATGCTGCTGAAGGTGTACTGTGAGCCCTGCTTGGTCTCGATCTCGAAGTCGAAGGAGCGCGTGGTGGTGGTGCCTCGGGCGAAGTTGACGCAGGAGATCTCCTCGAAGCGCAGGTGCACGGGCGGCTTGTGAACATAGATGAAGCCTCTCTCCAGGGGGTAGAGGAGGCCCGAGCTGGCCTTGTACGAGCAGGTGATGCACTGAGCTCCAGAATGCCTGGGGGGGGAGGCAGAGAAGAGACAGAGCTACACGCCAGAGACTGCACCAAGCTTCTGGGAGCTGTTCTCCAGCAAAGTGCTGAAACTTCTAAAGAACAAAGGAATTCGGCCAACGGATGGTATCAGTACAAGCATCAGAGAGGAGGATCGCCAAGGAAACCATCGCCCAGGAGACACCCTATGGCATTACCCCTGGAAGTTGCCCGGAACAGTGATCTTCCTATTCACCAGGGCCTTCATCACCCGGCTGACCATCTCATATAGCGATCCTGACATGTTCTTGCTGAGTTTCCCCTCGAAACGCTTCTCCACATCATCCCTGTAGGGTGACAAAGAAAGTGTTTGGGGGGGGGGTACAGGGTGAGAGAAGAGAGGCAGGAAGTGCTCGATGGACCACTTTCGGAACCCCCCCTCCCTCCCTCCCTCTCAGACTCACTCGCTCATGTTGAGCGTGAGGGTGATGTCATCCTCCTTGGAGAAAAGCAGGATGAGGAAGTGGTACCGGGTCTGCCCTTGCTTGATTGGGGGGTCCAGGCTGATCTGAGAGAGCGAAGACCAGGCGTCAAGCAGCTAGCGCAATGCTACCGACAAACAGAAGCGAAAACACCAAAGGGAAAGAGATTGCGTACGTTTCACCCGATATCACATACTCACCACGAAAAACATCTGCCTTTGGTCCTTGTGTGGCAGCAGAAAGAGGCGCAGGACTGTGGTGTAGGGGATTTTGTAGTCAAAAGTCTTACCGTGAAGGTGAAGAAAGGTGGGATAGATACGGATGTCGTACCTAGAGAGCAGGAAGACTTCCGTTAGAGAAGACGCTTGCTCTTTGCAGAGTGCGAGAATGAGAGGTTTCATGGGATGCTGTGTCACGTTAGACCAACAGATGGCAGCACTGGGCGCTATGACAGGCGCGATTGGCCGGCGAGCGGGACGGCTGCTCCACACCTTCCCCTGGGCGTCAGACACTGCAGTTCTTTGAAGATGCAAATGGCGTCGCCGGTGGCTTGGATGACGTCCGCCTTCGAAAGCACGTTCTGGGCAAAAGCCTAGAAGAAAACGACAACATTAGACGCACTTCACATACAGGGTACCGTCAGGCAGGAATCCATCATGGAACAAGGTGAGAGAGGTTTGATTATATCGAGTGATCATCTGTCACAGAGCACAGATTACCGTACTGGTATGCATTTCATTTAAAAATATCAAGGTAATACATCAACACAAAACTGCAATTAAAATGAATATAATGAAATCTATTTCTTTTTTCAGTAACCTCACCAAACTGCATACACAGGATAGGTGCCATAAAAAAGCAGCAGACAGACAACGCCCCCTAGTGGTCCGGCATCGCAAACAGTCACAGTACAGAAAGGCGCAGTTACCTCTACAGGCTCGACACCCTCGTCCCCGATACTGGGAGGGACGTAGAAGCGGACCTCCATGAGGGACACTTCGGCATCGTCGTTTTGGTGGAATTCCAGCGTGACCTCATTCTTTCCTGTCGCGCACTGGGACACACTGGACAGGGGGATCTCAAACACCGGGCTGTCGTTGACGTCGAAGGACAGGAGCGGGCCTGAAGATCAGAAATTATGGTGAATTTTAACCCGCCCTTCCCGGGGAGGGGGGGGGGGGGGGGGGTCCTATGGCAATAGTCAGATTTTTAAGCCATTAGGAAAAACAAACAGTTGCTGTACTTCCTGCCGTCTCCGCTCTGCACCTGGAGGTGTATTCAGACAGTAACATCACCGCCGAACATGCGCGTTAAAAGCCCGTCGTACCGTCATCGCCACAGAGGAAGGCAGCATCCGCACAAAAACACAATGTTCTTTGTGCGTCGGGAAGCAATTTTGCCGTTCTGCCTTCTCCCTGATCAGTCCCACGCAAGCAAACGTGGAATGTCTCTCCCCCCCCCCCCACTCCCGAAAGGACCAAAACATGCTAAGAGCCCACAAGTAACCTGAAAATTTCGCAGTGCCCCAGTTCCAGCCTTTGACACACATGTCCTTCTCCGTCAGCTCCACCTTGTAGTTGGCCTTGAAGTACTCCGAGATCTTCTCGAAGTCCTGAGGGCAAACGGAAGAGACAGAAGTCAGGAGTGTGACATGGAAGAGGGGAGGGTTCAGGCTTCAGATGCTGAGAGAAACTGTTTACCTTAATGCCAAATCTCAAGTTTCATCTCCGTTTCTCCCTTAACCCCCCAAACCATTTCCCTACACTACCCCCCCCCCTACAAAAGGCACCCCCACTACCACCAATCACCACCCAATCCGTCCAGTCCCTGTCTCGGGGTTACAGAGGGCGACCATCGCATTAGTAACGTGTAACATTACAGCTGATTAATCGCAGCCCGATGACCTCGCAGCCCCGTCTGCCCGTTCTCAGGATATGGGGGTGAGCGTAATCCATGGATGGGCTCCCCCAAGGCCGCCGCTTACAATCAAGCCGTTTATTTATCCAGCCGAGGTTTGTTACCACGGGACCGGACTGCGATGGCTTCCACATGTGTAACCCCCCCACCACCTCCAGCCCCCAGGTGCACGCATGCGTTCTGGCGTCACTGCCCAGCGTGATCTCTGTCGCCCCCTGGAGGCCACCTCCTCCAATCATCTGCCTGGCAGCCGTTCACTTAAACCCCAAACACAATCTGATTATTACTGCTCTTGGCGCTCATGCCCACATGCAGATCCACCTCCCGCCTGGAGCCAAAGGTCCCTAGACCTTCATTAGCAGAGAGACACTACTACATTAATCATCATCAATTGCGTGAAGGCCTCGCTCTTGACGACGCGCCGGGCCCCAAGCTTCCCCACCTCCGTCCCCATGGCGACGTGGAACCAAGCCTGGGGAGGGGGCGGAGCCTGGCCGGAAGCCCGGGGAGGCAGTACTGGGGGCTGGCCATTAAAGGACAGTCGGATGCTTACTGGGTTTCAGGTTACGGGGAGTTTTACAGGCGCCCCAACAGAATGATTTTGTTTTCAACATCTGCTAAAACGGGCAAGCTGGTTTATACAGCCCATTTAGCTTTGGAATTATACCATCTTCCATCTAAAACATTCTGTGATTACGTCTGCGAAATAGTGTCAAATGCCAAACCGCCATTAACTTCCCCCACCCCCACTCCCCCTTACCGAGTCTCGGAAGCCGTCGTACTTGTACACGTGGCCTGTGCTGGTCACCAGCTTGATGCCGTGGCCGAGGCAAACTCGCCGCCACTGCGCCAGGCTCAGCTCTGGGGCAGAGATGCTGTCCACTTTGCCCGTCTTGCTGCTCTTGTACACCACCGACTGCTTGCTGAAACGGAGGCGGCCGTCATTCTGCAGAGGGACGAATGGTCAGCACGCCGGAAGCCACGCGTGGCACGACATCGACAAGGTAAAATTCAAAATAAACGATGCAAAGGGGCAGGTGGAATAATCAGTACTCACCCAGCACCCCTTCACCTCCTGGTATATCTCATTAAACTCCAAAGTATCGCCCATCTCTGCCTCCTGGTCCCGCAGCACTCACCTGTGGGCACACAGAGAATGGAGTGAAATTCACCACCCAGATGGGTTCGTGTCCTCTTGTTAACTCTGTCCTTGACTAACAAAATGAGACAAGCCTGCAAAGACACAAGCTACTAGAGCTTAAACCAATATAATGGAACAGAGACGTGAAACACAGCTGTAAGTGCAATTTTGAGACCCCCAAATTTAAATATTACAATACAACATTTAAAATAGATTCAATACAGTTCTGTTATTAAGTAAAGATGATGTCTGACTCAATATTGTGGCTGTTACATTTCTGATATGATTTTTTAAGAGCTTTTATTTGGTCCTAATGACAAAACTCACACCTGTTACAACAACTACCCTGATGCAAAGTCTTTAAAAGCTTAAACACACACACACGTTTTATAATTTTGTAGCAGATCTAGTAACAAATCACAGGTATATTTGGTAGACCTGGGGGTGATTCAGCCATCCAATTAAGAGAATATTTGGAATATACCCGGAACCGGTGATTATCGCTCTACTTTTGGTTAATCTTCACGAGTTCTGAATCACTGTATAATATTTCAGTACATTTCCGAGGAAGCCAGCATCTGCTACTAGAAGCGACACTATGCGTGCCTTCACCATTTCACTACTGATAAACTATGCAGTCACATCCCTTTAAACTTGCCCTTCGAGCCAATATCAGGCCCTGTCATATTTAACTTCGACAAGGGGCAGCAAGCTGATGTACACGGAAACGACAAGTTATTTACCCTCTAAAGCTTGTTGCTAAAACAGTCACGTGCTTCTTAAAGAGTTCACGGACTCCAAACTACATCAGCTCGTAACAATGCAACTGGCATTCAAATAACAGCCTGATTTGTTCAATCTTTGAAGTGCACATCAGTGCCTTATTTACGCGTATAGATTTCCAACTGTTTAAATCTATCCGTTATTTTTAACTACAAATATCGACAGAATTCCAAGTAAGACGTATAAAGATTATTAACAACTAAAATTGTCATTTAAGATGCTAGCTCATAGCTACTTGTCAATGCACTGCAAGTCTGCCAAAATCTCGCCGCGTTCGCAAACGATTCTAACTCCCTGGGATCATTCGAAAACAGGAAAGGCAAATTCGCAATAAACAACCAATTGAGTCACAAGACTTTCTAAAAATGAAGAGAAAAACTATAATTACTTCGCAGCACTCGTGTACAGGAGATAGCACTATTTCCCGCGTGAACCGTCGGCTCCGTCTCTGAAACGACACCGGAACAAATTATTTTCGCCGACGTCACTTCCCGTTCAGCGGTCCTACGTCACGCGAACTATTTTTTTAACGGGACTTAACGGGATGGAGTAGATCAGGTTGTGTCAGGTGCGTTGCTTTTGCTGTTCGAGTCCCACCATGTGAAACTGCAAATGTTGTGTCATATAGGACGTATTTCTGATTATCACCGTCTACTGGGTATTATTTTTTGTTTACGTTTTGATTTTGTATAGAAACGTTGAAGTAAGTATTACAATAATACTGCAACAAGAGCACGAGGACAAGGCCGTATCCATTCACCTTTTATTCCTAAGGCTTTCACAAAAATATGTTATTTGAGCAAACTAATGATTGTTAAACCCGATATTTTTCCATCATACAATATAAAATAATGAATGTCCGACCAAGTAGTTAACTGCTTTACATGTTACTATATCACCATTACAGGTATTAAATTATATTTAAACTCCTCAATTTTCTATAGCCTGGAACCTTGACAGGGGAAACCCAGGATGGGATGCCGGTCCACCATAGGGCACACTCAGTCATACACTATGGGAAATGTAAAGTCACCAGTTCAACTAAATCGCAATGTTTTTGGAGCATGGTAGTAACCCAGAGTGATATGCTTTGAAATCAATATCACGGACTGTCAGTACCAAAAACAGTTTATATCCGTCCATCCAATCATCCATCATGCACCTGCTTATGTTTGCCAAATGGTGGGGGGTTTGGTGCTCATCTTAGACAGCACAGGGTAATGGGATTCCTGCCAATTTCAGGGCACACACAATTAATTTGACAACTTAAGGATACAAATTCTCCTAAACCGCATGTTTTTCGCCGTTGGAAGAAACTGGAGTAACATCAGAAGTATGCTTTGTAATGAGATCCACCGACAATTAGTCCCAATGATGGTTTAAGAGTATTTCTATCTTAAATATAAATGAATAGTACTTAGGCCTAACCGTTAACTAAAGTCAGTCGGATTTTTACCATAAATGGCAGGTCTGTGATTGGAAGCAGTGTTGTTAAAGTACTTTGCTTACGAGTCCGAAGGGGCTGTTCTGGGACTATGTTCACCAAACTGAATGTTATAAGCTGTTTCTGAATATGGTCGATTATCTTGTAATTATCTCAGTAGACTGTACTTGTAGTTCATTGTCTTGGATTACCTTCGCAGTAATTCTAGGAGGAAAACTGCAGAATTTGAGTGGTGGAATAATGTGCGTTAATGAAAAAAAGAGTGAGCTGCAGGGGGCGACAAAGCCTCAGTAGAGGAGTTACACAAAATTCTGGCCAAACTCTCAAACGTATTTTTTATTTCGTCTTTAAAATGAACAAGAAATAAGAACACTTCAAATAGCCTATTACAGCTATTCCCCACATTATATAAGTGAAATTGTTTCCTGACTTCTGTACTAAGAAATGAAATTATGATCATACTAACAAAAACGCAAAATATAAAACTATTCATTATAATATAAAATATACATACGTGTTACAATTATATAATTTCCAGTTTGCGCAACAAAAATGCAGTCACGCGCAAGTGTAGCAGTCGAAATGTAACCTGTGTTTTATTGGCGAAGGGTGAATGACAGACTGAGGTGAGAGAGATCACTCTAAGCTCAATGTCAATATAGCGTAATGCTAATACAACGAGCTAGAAAAACTGAAAGGAATAGATACATGTACACAACATCACACACCTACAATTCACAAAAATTAAATCACTGAACCACAATACTTAACAGGCGTTGAACCAGACCGTACCACATACAAAACATAGGCAAAAAAAAAATCACTCAGGGGATTGCACACACAGGGACAACCCAAACACAATACACACGCATATGATCACAAATGCAGACGGATAAAAAAAATCGCCAGCGTCTTTCTTTCTTTCTTTCTTTCAATTCCCCACTCTCTATATCTCTGATCCTTTCATTCTCTCTCTATCTCCTTCTCACACACTCACACGTTGTATTAATCGCCGCAGCATGAAGTTATTCAGCGCACATAACTTTGAAAAGTCGTTTTAAACTTCCATTGATGGTGTAAATCAAAGGGAGAGTAAAAGACAGCTCGGCAAAAATAAAGAAACTCGAGGACATTTATGGAAATAATCAAAGAGTGAGAAATCTGGATCACACAGCGGAAACATAAAATATCAGTATTTATAATAGTAAGTGATTATACGAGGTAAATTAAAACAGTAATTCGATAGAGAGAAAAATAGACTGGTGGGTACAAAGGGATTAAAAGAGTAACGAAATACCAGAACTCGTCAACTCCAAGTCCTGTACTTTTTTTAGGCAATGAACTGTCTGAATCACCGACAGGAGAGAGGGAGGTGGATGGGGAGGAAGAGGGGGACAGCACTTTCTCTCTTTCTGCCCCCGTATATAAACCGCACCGCCGTCAGTCAGTCAGTCCCGTCAAGACGGCAGCCCGTCAACAGCACCTAGTGCGGCTTTCGGCTGCTCAACCTCCAGCCCAGAAACCGATACCTACAGCTTGGTGATACTAATTAGTTATTGATGTTACTTGCCTGCCATATTCAGATCGTAAACCGTCAATCAAAAATATGATTGATTGCGTCTACGTCATATGCCGGGTAATTCTGCGTCCTTAAAAAGTTTAATTGAACTTTTTCGAAAAGTAGAAAACGTGAAACTGTATCAGGGTCTGAACAATTTAAGAATAAACTTAATAGTAAGAACTGATTAGGGTGAATTTTATAAGTTTCAGTTTCATCTATACTAAAAAATATAGAAGTCAAGAAACAAAATCTTAAAGTTGAAAAAATCTTAAGTTCTTCGAAGAAATACCGGATCAAAGCTTGAGATGCGACACGGGGAAGGTAAGACGATGGTTCAATTAGATATAATTACACCATTCATTTCATTGGGAGATAAATATAATGCATTTACTTTAAATATCTTATATCAGAAGAAAATCTTTTACCGTTTTTCTTTCACAGAATTAAATACATACCCATTTTAACATTTAATTATAGAAACGAAAGAGAGATCAAATGATTTTATATATAGATTTTATATAAATTATCTCTTGCTACTTTCAAAAATATTTCTCTTTTTTAACTTACATGAGTAGCCTATGTATTGTGAGTATATTGTTGGTGGTATTCATAGTTAATTTTTATCAGAAGTGATGCTGATAGTTTGTGAATTAGGATTGTGTGATCAGGATTTTATTTTCAGTGATTCAATATAAACTTCTTTGTTAATATACTAGTTAGTGTTATTTTTCCTAAAGTAGTAGATGGAAATATAGAATATATTCATGATAGAACACTTTAAAAACCAGTTTGGTTTGTGTGTGTGTGTGTGTGTGTGTGTGTGTTGAGGGGGCGATAGGTCAAAATGTTCCTATATATCCTTGTATCCCTGTCTTGTTAGCTGACATTTACACCACAGAATACAAGATCCTGTTTAGTCAGGGTCCATGAACTTGGACCTCAGAGGTTCAGAACACAGTTGAGAAGTAACATGGAAGGTAATGTTACCAAAGCGGCTCAGAATCCAGCGGCATTAGAGAGTCAGATTCACGCTGGGCCACTGAGAAGCTCCCCTGCTTCCCCGAAAGCTCTTCGATTCACATTGGCTACGTCGGTTTAGTGTGTTTCAGTCATTTAAGTGATGGCATTTGGGACGTATGCAGAAGCACTGCTCGAATACCAATGGCTTAAACACAGCATGGAGAGAGCGGGCGCTGTATAAATACCACGACTGGCCAGAGATTACAGCAGCGTGCATCAACAGCGCACAAGTGGGAGATATAAAATATTGCTGTATAGATTCCTTTGGCTATATCATAAGAGAGAGAATGGAGAGAGAGAGAGAGAGAGAGGGTTAACGTAGTACAGATTCCCTATTGACAGGACACAGCACCCAGAGGGAGAGAGACTAGGGGAATGATATAAAATGAGTTGGTCACGGTTTGAGCAGTTACACATGCTGTTTACATTTTTCCCAAATTAACATGGCCCCATGCTCTGCCAGCCCCCCCCCCCCACCCCTTCCCTCCTTCATGTTCAAAAAGAAGGACGGACTGAACGAAATTAACTGGGCTCTTGTATGTTTTTTTAAACATATTTAATTTTTGCTTTTTTTTTGGGGGGGGGGGTTGAGTGATGTAAATTAGACACCAAAGATCTGAAGCTGGCAGCAAAGAAAGGAGAGACTGAGATCCAGACCGGGAAGAGGAGAGGGAGCGGGAGAAGGGGAGATGATTAAGAAAAGGGAGAGAAGGAGGTAATTAGTGAGAGAGGAAAAGGAGAATGCAGGAGAACGAGAGAAAGGGAGAATAACAGGTTTAGGGAGGCACGCGATGAAGGTGAAAGAGATGAAGGGGTCAGTGAGAACAGGACATGAGTTTTGGGGGTTCGGATAGCGATTCTAGCGAAGATCACGAGACGGGCGAAGACGGCGGAGGTTCAACGGAAGTGAGGGAGTCAAGCTGGAAAGATGGAGAGGCATAGAGGAAACCGAAGAGTGGACGTGAGGGGGAGGGGGGCAGTTCGGAGGGGAGGTTTTGTTGTAAATATGAGTTTTATTGTTGTTTTTAAGCCTCTGTGTTTTTTTTTTGGCCATTGATGGTTTCTGTAAACACACTGTCCTAATTATGCCAAGTCGATCCATTTGAATCTGAATTTGAACTGTAAGTTGGGGTTAGCTGCTCGAGAAAACAAAACAAGTTAAACGCCTCACGTTCTTCTTTGTGTGTACGTGTGATTTTGTGCGCTCATGTACACTTGCACACGTGTGCTCACGTGTCGGAGCACATTCACGCACATGTTACGGTCGCACGTGCTTGTTCTCCCGTGTGTATGTGTGCATGTGTGCATGTGACCCCATCGGTCTCACGCCCGTAAGTCCGTGTACGCGTACGTGAAAGCCAGTACGTGAGCGGGTGTATGCCTGCGTGAATTTGTGTGTCAATGTGTGTGAGTGTGTGTGTGTTGAGTTAGTGAAGGAATGCGAATTTGATTGAGTACAGACT